AACTCCGACGAAACAGTTTGTCACAGCCCCTCGTTTGTTGTCCTCTTCTCCCTCTCTGCCTACGGTTTACCGGGCAGTTCTATTTGACGATATATAATATATATGTTTGACGATATATATGTTTGACTATATATTTGAAACTCGGACGAAACAGTTTGTCACAGCCCCTCATTTGTTGTCCTCGTTTCCCTCTCTGCCTACGGTTTGCAATCAGACTCGCTTCCCGTTACACTTCGCATTCACACAAACAGACGGCAAGTCACACTGGCGCTCAGCGCCCACTCAAAACTCAGAGATATGGAAGTAGGAAACACAGTTCAGATACTTGCTCGCTTCAACAGGCTATGGCGCATCAGCGCCTGTAGAACTCTCTGTTCGTCACTGTGCCCAACTCCACTGTTCATACACACTCCACTCAGGATCACCCTGGATATCCCACACACGACACACTGTGTCACACACACACACACGCACACACTACACTCGCCTACTACCTACGGCAGCTATGGCTGCTTAATCCGGCTGCTGGCTATGGCTACACAACCTCTACTCTGCCCACTTCGTCTTCGGGCGCTCTGCAGACCACCTTGCACAAGTTGCTGAAGCAGCGTTTCCGCATGGCATACGCAGGAATGAATGAATGACTGGGCGCTGCCTCTTGATTTATACTTCTGTAGCTCGTTGGTCTGCCCCTTTTTCCCTGCCCCTGGTGTACAGTCCCACACGGTACTTGCTTGACTGGACTGTGACTGACTGGGACCGGTACCGCTGACTCAGCAAGGGTGAACTTCACCACTTGCCCACTTGCCTCTGGTCTGCTGTGCGCAATGTTTGAAGGGCCACTTCCGGACCTTCCGGAAGTCTGTGGACTTGGCCCTTCGACACTGTAGCAGCTACGACCTTGACCTTTCAGGACTGTAGCAGCTACGACCTTGACTCCTACAGCTACGACCCCAGCTACAGACTTAACCCTTACGCGACAGACCTACGGTTCAAGACCCGACAGACACACTGGCCTACGACATACAACAACTAATTCCTAAGACACAGGTTACAGGTTCAACACACAGGGATACTGTACACAGGGGAACGAGGTCTAGGGATCGAGCCCTGGGATCTGCACACGCCACTGCAAAGGTGAAACCGTTTCAGGTTTAGTGGGCAGCTCTGTTTGACTATAGTTGAGTTGAAAGATGCATAATAACGTAACACAAGTAAATACAAAATACTAAGTAACCTTCCCGCATCACTTTCTTTTTTTTTCAACTGAATACTATTTTATCCTGTGGTGTGTTTTGTCCTCCTCCAAAGGTACCTGAAATACAGGAGAAAGAAACGCCATGACTTCATTTTTTGGCCGCCTCCGAAGGACTTATGGTTATGACGGTGTGGGGCAAACAGGAGAAAGAAACAAACACTATCACTTCATTTTGTGTGCTTCATTAAACCAGCAGTACCTCCAAGCCTCCTTTTCCCGGCGCGGATTTGCACTGCGTGCCAAAAGAAACGAACCGCAAGCAGCGCACTTTTCTTTTTTGGCTGGTGCCGCCAGCGATTTTTGTCCAGGTAGCACAGTTTATCCAAGAACATTAGATTGATGAAATTTTGATTCCCAAGTTTGCCTGGCCAAGGTACTCAGTGGCATACTGACACTACTGTCTTCACCCGAATAAAACGCCCGGTCATTATTGCTGCATCTGGTCTGGAAGTTGCCCCAAATGCAGCTATAATGACCGGGTGTTCTATTTGGGTGAAGACGGTAGGACTTTCCCGGATGTATAAGACCGCTTTTTCGACCTGGCGTTGATGCATCTGACTGCAATTACGTCCATAGAGAAGTGGAAAAAGCCCTAGTATGAGTATGCTCTGAGTGTTGTTATTGCTTTCGTCGTGACCGTGTCCATAAAACAGGAGAAAGAGACATCATCGTGCGTTTTGTGTGCTTCATTTAATACTTTATTGCTTTTGTCCGGTGGTGTGCGATGTCTTTGAAAAGACGGCTGCGAAGTACCTGGATTTTGGTGCTGTGTCAGCGGGCAAGTTTTTGTGGCGACGGCCCCAAGCAAGATTAGGTGTCTTATTCTATCTGGTAAGTTGGATGCCAAGTCCCTCTCTCATCCTGTGGTATGTATTCTGAGGATCCACTCACACTAGCACTATCCTAAACGTATCTCGCCAGATTCACGGCCGGACCTGGATGTATCTGACCGCAATGCCGTCCAGAAATAAGTAAAAAAAACTCCGGGCAGGAGTATGCCCTGAGTTGTGAACACCCCAAACCGAAAGAAGTGGTGTGCGCAGTGTGCTAATACTTGACTGTGTTAACAAAGTGCTAACGTAACTGTGAATGGTACTGAATACCATTCAATCCATATCCCCCTTGTCCCTCACCCCTCCGCCCCAATGAACATGGATGAAGTTCTACTAGAAATTCATAGCATGAGTAACAAAAAAAATTCAGGCGAAAATTTGAAAAACATGATTGCCAAAAGTTCAAGGTTTTCTGCGTTCGGTCAATCTATGCAGAGTGAATCGGTCCCAAAGAAACTCCGAAATGTGGCGCTGATGGGCACGAAACCCAAGAAAGTGGTGTGTGCGGTGCTAATTGATTCTGTTGACAAAGTGTCGAGTGTGTGAATGCGACTCAATGCGCATTCCCCGTGCATTGCCACCCGCCCCCCCCCCCCCCCCCCCCCCCCCCCCCCCCCCCCCCCCCCCC